GGAAAACGTTTGTGTGCAACTGGTTGACTTGTTTGCGTAAATCTGCCATTCTCTCCATTACCCGAGGTCAGCTCCACTCAAAAAAGGCTCCGTATATGCGATTCTGAAAAAACAAAAATTTTTCCAGTTCCCACAATCGTGGTGTCATCTTAAAAGGACAATGCTCCTCTTCCCATTCATGCAAGTTTCGTATCCCTATGTGCTTTACTTTCGGAAATAACCGCAAAAGGAAGCTAAAGTTCGTAGGCAACATCTTGACATGTTTGCGTAAATCTGCCATTTTCTCCATTACCCGAGGTCAGCTATGCTCAAAAAAGGCTTTGTACATGCGATTCTGAAAAGTCGAAAATTGGCCAGATTTTGCAATCGTGGTGTCATCTGAAAGGGAACATGCTCCACTTTCGATTGATGCACCCCTCATATCCCTATGTGCTTTACTTTCGGAAATAACCGCAAAAGGAGGAAAATGTTTGTGTACAACTGCTTGACTTTTTTGCGTAAATCTGCCATTTTCTCCATTACCCGAGGTCAGCTATGCTCAAAAAAGGCTTCGTACATGCGATTCTGAAAAGTTGAAAATTGGCCAGATCTTGCAATCGTGGTTTCATCTGAAAGTGAACATGCTCCACTTGCGATTGATGCACCTCTCATATCCCTATGTTCTTTACTTTCAGAAATAACCGCAAAAGGAGGTGAAAGTTTGTGTGCAACTGCTTGACCTTTTTGCGTAAATCTGCCATTTTCTCCATTACCCGAGGTCAGCTCCGCTGAAAAAAGGCTCCATATATGCGATTCAGAAAAAACAAAATTTTTCCAGTTCTCACAATCATAGTGTCATCTGAAAGGGACGATACTCCCCATTCCATTCATGCAAGTTTCGTATCCTTATGTGCTTTACTTTCGGAAATAACCACAAAAGGAGGCGAAAGTTCGTGTGCAACTGCTTGACTTGATTGCGTAAATCTGCCATTTTCTCCACTACCCGAGGTCAGCTCCACTCAAAAAAGGCTCCGTATATGCGATTCTGAAAAAAGAAACATTTTTCCAGTTTCCACAATCGTGGTGTCATCTTAAAGGGACGATGCTCCTCTTCCCATTCATGCAAGTTTTATATCTGTATATGCTTTACTTTCGGAAATTACCACAAAAGGAGGACAAAATTTGTGTGCAACTGCTTGACTTTTTGCGTAAATCTGCCATTCTCTCCATTACCCGAGTTCGATCCCTCTTAAAGAAGGCTCCGTATGTTCGATTCTGAAAAATCAAAAATTGTCCAGATCTTGCAATCGTAGTGTCATCTAAAAGGGAACACACTCCACTTTCGATTGATGCACCTCCCATATCTCTATG